AACAAAAAGAAGCAAATACACCCAGGAGGAGTAGAAGGCAGGAAATAATCAAACTCAGGGCTGAAATCAACCAAATAGAAACAGAAAGAACAATACAAAATATCAATAAAACCAGGAGCTGGTTCTTTGAGAAAATCAACAAGATAGATAAACCGTTAGCCAGATTAACCAGAGGGCACAGAGACAGTATCCAAATTAATAAAATCAGAACCTTTTCTGGGGAGACATAACAACAGAAACTGAAGAAATTAAAAAAATCATCAGATCCTACTACAAAGGCCTATACTCAACAAAACTGGAAAACCTGGATGAAATGGACAATTTCCTAGACAGATACCAGGTCCCAAAGTTAAACCAGGAGCAGATAAACCATCTAAATAGTCCCATAACCCCTCAGGAAATAGCAGCAGTCGTTAAAAGTCTCCCCACTAAAAAAAGCCCAGGACCAGATAGTTTTAGTGCTGAATTCTATCAGACCTTCAAGGAAGACCTAACACCAATTCTCTTCAAACTATTCCACAAAATAGAGACAGAAGGAACACTACCCAATTCGTTCTATGAAGCTACAATTACACTCATACCCAAACCCCACAAGGACCCGACAAAGAAAGAGAACTTCAGACCAATCTCCCTTATGAACATCGATGCAAAAATACTCAATAAAATTCTAGCAAACCGAATCCAAGACCACATCAAAACAATCATCCATCATGATCAAGTAGGTTTTATCCCAGGAATGCAGGGATGGTTCAATATTCGGAAATCCATCAATGTAATCCACTATATAAACAAACTTAAAGAAAAAAGCCACATGATCATCTCACTAGATGCTGAGAAGGCATTTGACAAAATTCAACATCCCTTCATGATAAAAGTCTTGGAAAGATCAGGAATTCAAGACCCCTACCTAAACATAGTAAAAGCAATTTACAGCAAACCAGTAGCCAACATCAAGCTAAATGGAGAGAAACTTGAAGCAATCCCACTAAGATCAGGGACTAGACAAGGCTGCCCACTCTCCCCCTACCTATTCAATATAGTACTGGAAGTCCTAGCCAGAGCAATTAGACAACAAAAAGAAGTCAAAGGGATACAAATAGGAAAGGAAGAAGTCAAAATATCGCTATTTGCAGATGATATGATAGTTTACTTAAGTGACCCCCAAACGTCCACCAGAGAACTCCTAAACCTGATAAACAACTTCAGCAAAGTGGCTGGTTATAAAATCAACTCAAACAAACCAGTAGCCTTCCTCTACATTAAAGATAAACAGACTGAAAAAGAAATTAGGGAAAAGACACCTTTCACAATAGTTGCAAATAATATAAAATACCTTGGTGTGAATCTAACCAAGCAAGTGAAAGACCTGTATGACAAGAACTTCAAGTCTCTGAAGAAAGAAATCGAAGAAGATCTCAGAAGATGGAAAGATCTCCCATGCTCATGGATTGGCAGGATTAATATAATAAAAATGGCCATCTTGCCAAAAGCAATCTACAGATACAATGCAATCCCCATTAAAATCCCAACTCAATTCTTCACAGAGTTAGAAAAGGAAATTCTCAAATTCATATGGAATAACAAAAAACCCAGGATAGCGAAAACTATTCTCAACAATAAAAGAACCTCTGGAGGAATCACCATTCCTGACCTCAAGCTGTACTACAGAGCAATAGTGATAAAAACTACCTGGTATTGGTACAGAGACAGGCAGGAAGATCAATGGAATAGAATTGAAGGCCCAGAAATGAACCCACACTCCTAAAGGAGCTAAAACTGTTCAGTGGAAAAAGGACAGCATTTTCAACAAATGGTGCTGGTTCAACTGGAGGACAACATGTAGAAGAATGAAAATTGATCCATTCTTATCCCCTTGTACAAAGCTCAAGTCTAAGTGGATAAAGGACCTCCACATAAAACCAGATACACTGAAACTAATAGAAGAGAAGGTGGGGAAGAGCCTTGAATACTTGGGCACAGGGGAAAAGTTCCTGAACAGAACTCCAATGGCATATGCTCTAAGATTAAGAATTGACAAATGGGACTTCATAAAATTGCAAAGTTTCTGTAAGGCAAAGGACACTGTCAATAGGACAAAATGACAACCAACAAATTGCGAAAAGATCTTTACCAATCCTTCATCTGATAGAGGGCTAACATCCAACATACACAAAGAACTCAAGAAATTAGACTCCAGACAACCAAATTACCCTATTAAAAAATGGGGTATAGAGCTTAACAAAGAATTTTCAAAGGAAGAAACTCGAATGGCTGAGAAGCACCTAAAGAAATGTTCAGCATCCTTAGTCGTCAGGGAAATGCAAATCAAAACAACCCTGAGATTCCATTTCACACCAGTCAGAATGGCTAAGATTAAAAACTCAGGTGATAGTAGATGCTGGCGAGGGTGTGGAGAAAGAGGAACACTCCTCCATTGTTGGTGGGACTGCAAGATGGTGCAACCACTTTGGAAATCAGTGTGGCGGTTCCTCAGAAAATTGGACATAGCATTACCTGAGGATCCAGCTATACCACTCCTAGGCATATACCCAGAAGATGCTCGAACATATAACAAGGACATATGCTCAACTATGTTCATAGCAGCCTTGTTTATAATAGCCAGGAGCTGGAAAGAACCCAGATGTCCTTCAACTGAGGAATGGATTCAAAAAATGTGGTATATTTACACAATGGAGTATTACTCAGCTATTAAAAACAATGAATTCGAGAGGTTCCTAGGTAAATGGATGTAACTAGAAATTATTATCCTGAGTGAGGTAAGCCAATCACAAAAGAACACACATGGTATTCACTCACTGATTATTGGATATTAGCCCAGAACCTTGAAATGCCCAAGATGCAACTCACAGGCCACATGAAGCCCATAAAGAAGGAAGACCAAGTGGGGGTGATTCGGTTCTTCTTAGAAGGAGCAACAAAATACTCAAGGGAGCAAATATGGAGACAAAGTGAGGGACAGAAACTGAAGGAGGGGCCGTTTCAAGACCACTCCACCTGAGTATCTATCCCATGTGCAATCACCAAAGGTAGAGGCTGATGTGGAAGTCAGGAAGTGCATGCTGATAAGAGCCTGATATGGATATCTCCTCAGAGGCCTTCAAGAGTCTGACATACTCAGAGGCAGATCTCACAACTAGCCATTGAACTGATCATGGGGTTCTCAATAGAGGAGTTAGAGTGAAGACTGAAGGAGAGCTGAAAGGATTTGTGGCATCATGAGGAGAGCAACAATACCAACCAACCACAGCTCCCAGGGTCTAAACCACCAGCCTGGGAGCACTTAGGGAGGGATCCAGTGCTTCAATTGAATATGTAAGAGTGGAGGGCCCTGCTGGGCATAGGTGGAAGAAGAGAACCTTGACCTCATGAAGGCTGGATGCCCCAGGGTGTGGGAATTTTGAGGGTGGGGAGGTGGGAGTGGGGGGGGGTAGATAGAAGTTACATCCACAGAGAAGAAGGAGGAGGGGTGAGGGGATTGGGGGTTCCTGGGTGGGTGGGGGATGGGGTAAGGGGACAACATAGGAAATGTAAATAAAACATCCAATAAAAAAAAAAGAAATAAAGAAAGAAATAAAGAAAGAATACTGAACACATTAAAAAAAAAGAACATGTGTTTATATTTGGATGCTGTACCTACTAGAAAACAAAAAAGTATACATTAGTTATTTTAAAAGATTTCAGCATGAAAGGTTGTGGCATCATGTAACCAGAAACTCAGTTATCTAGAGCTATGTTTCCAATTGCCTGATGTCCTGAAAGCGATGTGACTAAAAATGGCTGGAAGTGTTTCTACCTGGATGATTCTACTGCTGGATTATTCATATCTTTCTACACAAGTCTCAATGATGGGGGCAGTTTATTTTTTGTGGTCCTAGTTTCTACCAGAGAGGTGAGAAGGAAGGGATGTAGAGAAAGAAACAAAAATGTGAGTTTTTCAAAGTATTACTCTGGCGATGTGGTGTGCTGGCAAGCCCTTGAGAAAGTTAACAATGTCTTTATGGGTGTGGCTGTTCTTTTTGGGTGAACTCACCATGTGTGTAGGGGTGTGTGTGTGTGTGTCTGTGTGTGTGTGTGTGTGTCTGTGTGTGTGTAAGAGAGATCTGTAAAAATACAATAGCCTTTTAATGACTAAATGTATGGTAATAAGGTATAAACAGAGCCTGTCTCTACATAACACTAGCTGGGTGTGAATCCCAAGTCCACCACATGCTCCTTCCCCTGAATTCTCTGAGCCTTATTTTCCTTCTCTATAAAATGGCAATGAGAGAAACCTGGGCATCCAGTGATTATTAGGAAAGATAATGAACATAACATGTTTGGATGATGCCCAGTGAGTGTTATCTCTCGTCACCATAGCAATTGTCAGATGGAAAATAGTAAAACTCCAAGGAAGTGAAAAAGAACATGAGCTTATTCTTTCTCCCAGCTGTATCTTTACTTCTTTTGGTTTTTTTCCTCAGTCCTTCCCATGACCCTGGATGAATGCAGTCAGAAGCAGAGCAGACACTTGCCCATGGACACTATCACCAGCTCCTTACGTCAAGCTATGCACCCCAGCGATCCAGCAAGATCAAAAATCTCCTGAAAATCCTTTTGTATTATTATTCAACCAATGTTTTTTCATACAGGAAGCCATTCCTCTTGCAACCCCAATCTGTAGCCATATTTATTTATTCTCCATAGTGCAATGACTGTAAGCCCTTGGCAGCCTCAAATAAGGTATGTTCAACATCACCTTTTCATTTTCTCTATGATGGAGATTCTACGAACTGTTCATCTTTTAGAGCTGAGGGTGGGGTACAGGGGTGGGCAGGAGAACTAGCCAAAAAAAAAAAAAAGCCAAGCAAACAAGCTGCCTAGTGTGTTTAAAGAAAAGAGGTATTAGATTAGACACAGTACTAGCCAATGGTTTAAAAACAAAACAACAACAACAAAACAGAATTACAAACAGAATAAAGTTAGTCTAGTTGCTTGCTTACCCCAAGGATCTGGCTGAATAAAAGGCAGTAGATGGGTGTGACTGCCCCATTAACGGCTGCACACAAAGCTCCAACCAGCATGTAGTGCCATTCTGGAATGTTGAATTTTAGAATCCTCCTAACTGGAGCGGGTTCAACTTCTTCCACAAGCTCGTCATTGTCCTTAGGGAAATAGAGTTAGTTACCAAACATATCTATACCCTTTGGTGATCCCAGAGTAAGAATCACAGGCTGGTGATAATGGTTACACACCGGTTAGGGGTGACTTCAGAGACGCATGAGATGTGGTGACTTGTTACTGGTATTTCTTGGGACTTTGCCCTGCCTGGCTGGGGCAGGACTGTTCCCTAAATGGTGGGTAGGTAATGCTCATAATGGCATCTAGATTAACTCTCAAGCAGGAGGATTTGTGTTGTCTCTTTGAAAATAACTCATTTAAAAAATAACACTGCTATGTGTATTTACACATTGAAAACTTGAGGAGGTTTCAAGGTATGTTTTTAAAAACATATCAAGCAAGATTCTCTAAGCTAGTAACTAGTGGATGTTCTGGGACAGGCCAGTGTAACTGAGACGTTTAATTCACAGTGACCTTGCCCATAGAGTCCTCTCCTATAACACAATTTACTTCAAGGTGGTGTTATCTGGCCCTCTTCGGATCTCCGTGTGGAAACTGGGAATTGAACGGGAGAGCCAATACAAAGATGTGGGTACTGTCACAGCTCTGAGTGGGTACTGTGACCCCTCTGAATAGCTCTCAGTATTTATCTCTGACTCAGGTGACTCTGCCCACACCCTTGGGACTATGTTGGACTATCTAGATGACTTTCAATATGGCAAAATTGCCCTCTGAAGGTCTTGATAGTCCAGATCTGGTCGCTCGCAGACTCATAAATGTCAGGCTAACATTCTCTGAATTCTACATGTTCCCTGATGAGGCTACTACCCCAAAGGTAACTATTCAGAGCCTAACAAGATGGAACCTTTCCTGGTTTTTGTGTAGCAAAGTGTCACTAACCTTAAGCAATGAGACATTTAAGGGAAATATGAAATTTTTTTGCCCTGTAGTTTTCATATCAGGACAAATTAATAAACAAAAATAGTCAGCTTGAATAATTTTGTCATCAGCCACTAAAAAAGAGAAAAAAATTATCTTAAAGAAAGCTATATTCTACTGTCCTAAAACAACCTGAGTGGTACAGAAAGCCTATCCTCAGATAGTGGATTATTTTATTAAATTTTATTTGTTATATCTAAATGAGCAGCAGAGAAATAAAATGTGTATTGTAAATGCATATATATATATATATATATATATATGCAAATGTGTGTGTGTGTGTGTGTGTAACTAAAGTTATTCTAGAAAATACAGTGGTCTCCTATCTACTGTATAGATGGTTCCATATTTGACAGTATTGTTCTAGTTTTTTTCTTTGATCTCTTGTGTGGGTCAGGGGGAGATCAGACTTCCTGGAATTTTGTCTCCTTCTTTCTATACTTTCTTATACAGGTTTCTGTATTCTAATAATAGGACTTTTCTACCTGGATAATAACTCTAAGATTTAATGATAAGGCAATATTTATGCTAAAAAAAGGCCAAGCTTTTTCAGACGAGCCAAGACTGACAGCCATTTTTATGAATCCTGTCTCTGTGCTATCTCTAAGATAGGACTTCATCACAAGTCAGCTGTGATGAAGCTACAAGATTCTAATATATTGCAACTTGACTTTATTTGTATATATTCTATCTTTTTTTTTTGGCTTATTGAAAAAGATTCATGGGTATTGGAGAGATGGCTCAGTGGTTAAGAACACTGACTACTCTTCCAGAGGTCTTGAGTTCAATTCCCAGCAACCACATTGTGGCTCACAACCATCTGTAATAGCATCTGATGCCCCCTTCTGGTGTGTCTGAAGAGAATGACAGTGTACTTCTATACATAAAATAAATAAATAATTCTTTTTTAAAGAAGGAAGGAAAGAAAGAGATTTATAAATATTAGAGACTGAAATTTCTACTCTTCATACTAAACTCAACCTGATAGGATATTTACTATCTCATCTCACTTATGGAAGCTAAAGATTCAGACGGCTTGGAGAAGGAGAACCAGCTTAGCTCTGTCATTAACTGATACCTTCAATGAGTCATCCCACCTAGAGTTTAGAAGGACAGACTCCTAACAAGCCTCAGCCCCTCTAAATGTTCTGTAAATACTCCGAGAGACCACAAGGTGGAGGTAATTGCTTTGTAGAAGTAGACTCTAGGAACACCACAGAGCCAGAGCAGAGCATTTCCTGGTCTACAGAAGATGACATCAGAATGAGAAAGAGCAGGAATTCAGCTTGACCTTGTAGACACAATTGTTAAGATACTTTGAAAAACTAAAACCAAGCCACACACTCTTATACAGAGCTCTTTAGGATTAAAAAATCCTATTAGTCAAGAAGAAAGCAAGCAATGGAAATTTCATTAGCCAAATTATATTATATTGTTTTCCTTTAATCTTTCTTCCACCAATACAGTTACTGTATACACAAGAAATCCCAGGGAAATGGCAGATCGTTTCCTTTTGGAGCTTGAACAACAGATCAGCTTCTCAACACCTTTTTGCCTGTTTTTCATTGTTATCTCCTTTACTAGGGAAAATATAAAATGGCATCTTTTAAAAGCTGTACCGAGCAACAGCCAAATTATCTTAAATTGTTTTCTTCCTAGTGCTATGAACATAAGTGAAACTATTAATTTTAGCCCCAAAAGAGGAGATGCACCTCTGATGGCAAGATGCAGGAAGGAGCCATCCTTACATCTTGTGTTTCCTAATTCTGATTCATCCTGAGAAAGAGGGCTGTAAGGTATTTACAGAAATGATTTATTCAACATTGAGACTTCTATTCAACCTCTGTTAGAACAAGACAGGAGAGAGTCTCAATGACCCATCTTTCACAAGGTCTTAAAAGGTATCATTCAAGAATTTGTCCCAAATTTCTCCTTTGTGAGCCAGTGTTTGTAAGGATGTCTTAGATTCGCAAGTTGGAATTTTATTAAGGACATTTTGAAATTACATCATGAATAATAGATGTATTTGTAATTAAACTATTCTTTGGCTTATTTGATTTGATACATGAAAGAATGTGAGCTTCATTTTAATCACAGAAACTCCATTTTTTTTTATTCCAGTTAAAACAAGCAAACAAAAACCGCTTGATACCCTGCTTAATACAGGCACTGGGCAAAGTACCTTTGGGAACTCAACACAGATATGAAGGGCCAGGAAGTCTAAGGAGCCTAAAATTTAATAAGAGAAGAGAGCATGGATTCCAAACTTAAGAGTTCCATGAAGGAGTTCAATGAACACCATGTAGGGGATCAAACGTGAGTACATCCAGGCTGAGGAATACTTGTGGTTTGATACATGTTCCCTTATAAGAAAGATAATGTCCCAAACAGCAGGATAGTGTACCTTTTGCAATTTAAAACTTGTGGCAATTTGCATAGGGTCTAGTCTTATCAAGTAACTTCATCAACTAAGAGAAAATTTTAAAGTGTGAGAAAAAATGATTTCCAGTATTGTTTAAAACTTTAAAAAGTTACCTCCATACAAGCAAATAATTTGCTTTGCATGTTTAAGAAACATATTACCTGTGCTTATTATAATTATCTATCTAAAAATTGGTAGGTATCCCTTAACAATTCAGTTTAATGTAATATATATTCTTCAAAGTAATTAAAAGAATTTGTGTTCTTTGCGGGGGAGGGGTATAAACTATAGAGTTTTCACCAGGTCTTAGTGTTCTCCTATTTGGTCTGACTTAGTAAGCCATTACCATATATCTAGGAAGCATGTATGCCTAAAGATAAATGAGACCCCTGGGAAAGATTTCTCCCATGCCCCAACCCCACCCCAGAACAAGGGGTATCTGACCTTGCTGTCTTCATAGGAGGATTTGTGATCAGCTGTAGCCAGTGGAGGTTCATGTGGCAGATGAGACAGCTGAGATTTGGAGCGTTGGCGGATGGAAGCTCTGGAAAACACAGCAAGACAGGACAGGCTTGCAGATGGCAAGCAGGTTGCAAAGGGGCTCAACTGGTATCCCAGTTTATATCACACATCGAATCAACAGAAGAGTTTGGTGGGTCACGTGACAACCAGGGCAAGGGAGCTTCCAACTTGAGTTTGATGAAGTTTATCTTGTGTCAGTGTGAGTTGGGAGGATTTCTCTTGACCCCAAGCTCTGTCACTAGTGGATCCAGATTCAGTGTGTAACCAGGGAGAGAGAGGATGGAATGACCAATGTTTCTCATTTACCTACTGAAAACAGCCCACGACTCAAATGTCTTCAGAGTCCACATGGTTCTGCTAGCCCCTACCATGGCAAAGGTGATGGTTGGGCACTTGTATTTCTTTCTGGATTAGGGTATAGTTTCTAGGTTCTCTGGGTGTCTCTATGTCTCTCTCCCCCTCTCCCTCTCTTTCTCCCTCTTTCTATCCTTCTCCCCTTTAGAGGTGATGTCACCTAGATATAAGTGAAATAACAGAAAGAAAAATAGGGTCCCCTGTGAGACAATCTCCAGGTTTTGTAGATCACATGACAACCAGGCCAAGGAGCTTCCAAGTTAGGTTGGGTGAAGCTTATTTCCAGGTGATGTACTGCTCACAGAAATGAATCAACAATCACCTTATTGAGACATACTTTAGCTTAATGCGTTTGTTCATTCAGCTTCAGTTTATTAGGTTCCTACCTTATGTAAAAATCCAATGTTAGGTGCTAGCAGAAACATAAAGACTAGCCATCTTTCCCAAGGAGTTTAAATTCTACAGGAGAATAACGCGTATAATCAAAGCTAGTGTGAAGAAAAGTCTGGTGGGCGCTGTTCGGAAGTTTTGAATAGGTAAAGCTGAGTTTTGAGGTCTTAGTTTGACATAGTACAAGGTAAGCAGAGAGATGGTAGAGGTGAGGGGAGCGTGTCAATTGTTCCAACTCTAGACAGAATGATTTCATTCCCCCTATTATGTGTATGCAGGGAAAATTAGACTAAAACAAATGCCAAGATGGTGTCTGTCACCATCCAGTCTTTCCAAGAAATCAGTAACATGTCAGCTTCATTATGCTAATCCCATACTGTATGAATGACCACCCTCTTAGTCACCTATGTTCAACATTATGCATTTGCAGAAAGTCGAAAGTCTTCTTTAATCTTTCACAACTCTTGCCACATCTCATTATGATCAAGCACAAAACCACTCTTGAAACCTGATTCCCTGTCCCCAACCTAACCTGAGATATTGAATTCATTCTCACTCACTCTGATATGTGGAGGTTACATAAGGAGTTATTTCTTTGGGTTAGGTAATGAATGCTAGGACATCTCTAGACTATGAAGAACAGGCTGTGTCACCTGAAGTGATTATGGAGTGTCATAGAGTGTATGTTATGAGTGAGACTCAAAATCATAGGTCTAATCAAATTCACAGCAATTGATACCAAGGTAGGAATATATAAGAAAGGAGAGAATGTCAATACTCAGTTGAGTACTCAACTTCTAGTTCTATACATAGGAAGACTTGTCTATGAGTTCCTTCAGATTTCTACTATCTTAACCTTGTACTTCCTAAATCTCCCTCTCTTCTTTTCCTCAAATTCCTCCACCTCTCTAGAATAGACTGTTATGAGACAGTAAGTCGGCTAGGCAAGGGCTCTGCCTCCCAGCTAGTGCTCAATCTGGTTTATCAGAAACCCTATGGTAAGATTCCATCACACTTCTGACCAGAACTTATACAACACTCTCTTTAAGAAATCCTTAGTCAAAAATTGTGTACTACTTCTCACAGCAAAGAAAAACAGCTAATTTGGAGAAATAAATGTTCTTTCTCTCTTTTTTCAACATTATTATTTAGAAAATTATTTTCTGTTGCCAACTAACTTGTTTTTGAACATAAAATATATTGCTGAAGAAAGACTCAGTTATTAGAAGACTACAGCCCAAGAAGCAAGATACAAATTAACATTTCATTTAGTCATCATCTAGGAGAAAATCCTGTCAGCACATACAATGAGATATTTTTAATAGAACTCCTTATTCAAAGTTATAAATCCTTCTCTGCATGAGGTTAATAGCTACTTTTTGAGTGCAGATTGTCTTTCTGGGTATTTTTTTTTTTTTAGTCCTAGTTATTAAAATGTAGAACTTGTGGGAAGTGTAGCCAAATAACAGATACTTGTGTGAAAATGGTTATTTGTTTCTCATCATAAACTACTTTAAACAGTCAGAATTTTCTTCTTAATAATAAATAAAACATTTTCTTGTTTGCTGACATGACCACAAGATACATGTTATTCTAACTCAAAAACAAAGAGAAGCACCCAGTCATTTTTGTGTTTAAGAAAAGTAGTCATCCTCAAGTTGTGATTCATGTATTTTATTCATGATTAAACATGCTGCTAGGATCAAACATGGTCCCACATGTCTATAAAATTTGCCTAATAATTCTAGTAATGTTTTTAAAGATTTATTTTTTTATTTATATGAGTACACTGCAGCTGTCTTCAGACACATACTAGAAGAGTGCATCGAATCACATTACAGATAGTTGTAAGACATCATGTGGTTGCTGGGAATTGAACTCAGGACCTCTGGAAGAGCAGTCAGTGCTCTTAACCACTGAGCCATCTCTCCAGCCCTCTAGTAATTTTTATATCTTATACTATATAGAGTAATTACTCTATATGTTTACTAATTACTCTATATACTACATAAAGTAATTCAAAGCTATTATTTTCCAGCTCAATAAAACTAACACTTCTTAAAATTTTTTCTTTTTCTTCAGTAGATTTTTCTCTAAAAACAAAACAAAACAAAATACCAAGTATGAGAATCTAGACCTATAAAGATAAAATACATTAGTGTAAAAAGATCTATGTTTGAAACACATAAAAATACTTTTCAGTAAATCATTCTTTGAAAATTAACAATAAATAAACTCACTTTGACTACATGAAGTTGTTATCAGAATGCTCTATTTTAAGCAACCTTAATTAACTTCCTTCAGGAAATGAGTAGCCATCTTTAATGAGCTAGTCCTATACTAAGTCTTTGCTTTCAGCAGTCTTGTATTTAATGTCTTAGAAATGGTAAGGCCAATGACAAAGAGATGTATCAACCATTACTTATTACTAGTTTTCTGATTGAAGCAGAAAAAGTCTTAACAATATTTTTTATGAAAACAGACAAATATTTCTGGACAGATTTTTTAATGCATAACTTTTAAGAAAATTTTAAATTTGTTTTTAGTTTTAGAATGTTCGCTTTCTAATTGGAAAAAGTTATGTTCATCACATGTTACTTAACCTTTTAATATATGGATAAATTGGCTGCATTAGCATGCACATTACCCCATATCCTTATCACTTTTCATAGTGACCTCAACATCTCCCTCAGCTATTGTCAAGTTTGATGCACGCTATTAATGTAGTTGTCGTGCTATATAGGTGATCTCTTCAACTTCTTCACGTGTAATCTAATTAGAATTAAGGCCCCATGGGGCTCGGGAGATGGCTTAGTGGTTAAGAGCACTGACTGCTCTGCCAGAGATCCTAAGTTCAATTCCCAGCAACCACACAGTGGCTCACAAGCATATGTAATGGAATCTGATGCCTTCTTCTAGTGTGTCTGAAGACAGCCACAGTGCATTCATATATGCTCATACACTTAAAACAGATAAGTAATCCTTTAAAAAAATAAGTCCCTTTTTATTGGATATTTTATTTATTTACAATACAGATGTCATTCCCTTTCTCCATTTCCCCTCCCTAGAACCCCCCATCCAATATCCCCTCTTCCTTTATGGTTTTATACCATTTTGATTACATGCATGTATTAAGGTCAGTTCTAGGTTTAGGGTCTAGCAATACAATAGATGTAAACAGTGTTCACTGTTTCTAAAGGCTTATCAGGATGATCAAAGTATCTGAGTCTACTTCCCTATCCTAGCCAAAGGTCATTTTCATGTCTGAAGCCTACTTCCTTGTTCTAGCCTAAAATTTAGATTCCTGTCTGAAATTACTTCTTTGTTCTAGACTAATATTTAGATTCCTGCCTGAGATTACTTCTTTGTTGTAGTCTACGATTTAGATTCTTACCTGAAATTACTTCTTTGTTCTAATCTAATATCAGATTCCTGCTTGAAGCCTACTTCCTTGTCCTTGGCCAATGTCATATTCCTGCCAAGAAGCTCATTTTCTTGTCCTTGGCCCATGTCAGCTTCTTTCTAAGCAGCCCCAAAGACTCTCTACCTCTCCCCCTTTTTTTATTTTGTTAATAAGACTAAACCTGTCTTAGGTTGTTCTGACAAGAATGCCTTCCTTACCCATCATGGAATGTGCATGCTCAAAAGCAATGCACTTATGTCTTAGGTAGGTAAGGCTCTGTGCAGAATCTTACCCGTCCTTGGCTTGCCAGCCTGTTAATTTAATAATTCTGTCTGGGGGTCCATTTTCAGGTTCAAGCTATGTACTTTGGCTGCCAACATATTGATGTTGTTAAAAATAAGTTTTAACACAATAGGCAGAAATGAAAGTATTCCCAGGACAAGAAGGGCTAGCCTGATCAAGCTATTTATGCCATTCCTGAGGTTTGACCAAAATGGAAATACTGACCTCGGGCCATGAATAATTTTATTGGCATTATCTGCAGCATCAAAGGTCAACAGAGCAGCATTCTTTAAATTCATAATCTCACATTGCAAAGTTAACACACCCAAAGAGGTGTTAGAATTATGCCAAATATCCTACAAGTGTCTTTAAACTTTTCTCTAATTATAATGACAATCATTGTGAATTTCAAAAGTAACACTACTCCAATGATATTTGTCATGACAGTTAGAATGGTTCCTAACTCTTGAACCCCGAACCTCCTTCAAATAATTTGAATGGGGTATAGAGCATCATTCATTGTCCCAAATACCTATATAAATACTTTTCTGTACTCAATATATTAGTAACATTTTTTTGCTAGATGGTTAACA